CGAGCCGACAATTGCTCGCCGACGATTTAATCAAGTCAGTTCCTAATGGCTTTCTCTTCATTAAATTCTAATAATGGCCGATGTTTTTGTCTTCGATGCGCGTTGGGCGTGCCTCTAACACATCGTTGCTTAATATATACCATTATTATATAGTACTAGCTTTGGCCCGCGACTTCCGCCGACCGCGTGAAATTAAAAAAGAATAAAAAATATAGCCTATGTTGTTCACAGAAAAAAAAATTAACATAGCCAATGTTACTCAATAGCGTAGTTTTTTAATGGTGAAAGAATTTCTGAATTCGGCCATGTAGTTTATGCGTCAATCAAAAACATACAAAAATACAATTCTTTTCTCTTTATAATATTAGTATAGATATAGACTATACTAAATTAGTGTTATATGCATACTCTTTTTTAAATTCTTTAAAACGTTTTTACCGCACAGAAGATCCTCTGTTTTTTTATCATCTAATTAAATTAGCAGATTTCAAAGCAAAATCATTAGTAGAGTAAAGGGTAAATAAAAGAACTTGCATATTATATACACATTTATTACATTTTTTACATCAGTACATAAATTAAACGTAACTTCACAGTACATTTTTACATGTATATACACAGGTGGTTCAGTTTAACGCGGGAACAATGAATCAAAGGGAATGTATAGAATCAGTTAAGAGGTTTGTTATTGTCGAAAGTTAAACAATAAGAATCTTAATTATGACTAGCGACTCGTTAGATGCCTACATTCTTACCGTCTCCTAAGCATATAAAAATAAGTTAAAACCCTTGAGATAACAAAAAAGGATATAAAAGGCAATTATTTTATCGAGAAAATCTCAACATTTTTACGTCATAGAAAACTTCACCCAAACCAATTTATTTTACATAAATTAAAAAAAAATAATATATTCCAAAATTAAACAACATTTTGGTTTTAATTTCAAATCTATAAAATAAAAAAAATATAAAAAGTAAAGCGTTCATTATATAAAATAGATTTGTGATGTTGCCATTATCTTACGCTTATTAAAACAAAAAAAAGATTGCTTCAACATTCACGCGCTAAACCATACACCGTTATTGGTATACATTAATAATAATAAAAACACGTACAATAGGAAAGCCAACATTTATTACCTAAATTTTCTTCAAATATAAATCGCGATAAAACCGCATTATAAAATATTATATTGAAAATGACTACTGTTATGTTAAATATAATTTTTGTAGAATGTACTTTCTAATAAAACACGCTTGAGGTTGGCCATAGACTAAATTTAATTTTTTGTAGACATGATTAAGGTAATAGATGTCGCTACTATTTTGATATAAACTTTAACATTTAGACCTTATTCACACGGGCGTTTTTTTAACGCTTTAAAACACTTGTTACGGCCTAACGCTCAGAATATACTGCGCTTATTAAAAGCACTACCGTATGAACAGATATACATGGAAATGTATTTGTTCTATTTTAAAGATTATTAACGCGTGTTATAAAAACGTCCGTATGTATAGGAGAAAAAATGAAATTCATACCGGTAAAGATTTTGGGAACTATAAAATTTCATTAGATTAATAATAATGGGAAAGTTTTTTTTTTGTGATGACTATTTATTGAAGTTTCTACTATTCTGTTACCAATCACTCTCCATTTTGGAGATATAGACTTGTAAAATTATTAATTGATCGGAATATGACTTGATAATTTCAAATAAAAATAGAGTAAAATAAGGTAACTTGATATGATGGAATTTCAATATTCAATCGTTAATAAATGTATTCATTTAACATATAGTACAAAACTATATTATGAAGGAAAATATTTTCAACAATCTGCGATACAAAACCAATTTTATATTATGTTTCTGATTTTTCAAAATCATCTTCATATCTATCGTAAAAACTGGGGTTACATTTTTATTTCATTTATTTATATAAATCATTTATCAGTATAATTATATTTTATCACTGGACTTTCATTAACTACATAATTTATTTCATTTAAACTAAATATTAAACCTTAAATATTTATTTATACAAAAGATTAAACACTCAACGATAATTATAGGAAAATAGTCAAATATTAAAACAATCTAATTAAGTCGTTTTATGTATTTCTTACTGAAATACTCTAACACATGTTTAAAGCCTCATATATCTATTTAATTTTATATGATTTTAATTTTTTAAAGTAGATAAAAATGCTTCATAACAAAAGGTACAAAATATAACCTAAGCATGACCATTATTTCTGATGTTATATTCTCTATTAATTGGTTTTGTTAACATTTTGCTACTAAATATAGAAGTAACGTAGATATATTTACAGTGTGCTATCACAAAATGGCGGCAAAGTCGAGGCGCGTTCAAAATGGCCGCCCGTTCTGCGGCCGCTCGGGCAGCTTCGGTGGGGCGTTCGGAACTGGTCGGCTAGATGTGGAAAAATTGAAAATTAGTACATTTTTAATAAGATTTACACATTTATGAATTATGCAACGCTAAGATCAGATGACAGCTTTTAGTATCCAGATAAGATAATGTATGTCAATAACTATCATATAATCTTTACGTATTTAGCAAATCAATGTGAAATACAGTGAAAAACAGCAAATTGAGAACAGCGAATTGAAAGCAAAGCTGTGTGAAATAGAGCACTTAAAGCGTGGTAATGTTTCAATGGAAAATAAGCAAATCTTCTGAATAAAATAAATAACGTATTAAAGAAAAATCTCATATATACGAAAACATCGAGTTCCTATCATAAAAATAAAAGTCTACATTATTTCAACATGCTTAAACATTAAAATAGAAAGGAAAAAGAAGGAAATATCAAATATATAACTACCGTATAACCCATGCTTAATAACACCTACAAATATTCCAATAACATTTAAAGCATTCTGAAGGATTCCTTCTCTTTCTAACCTATTAGAATAGACAGAGACGGAAGTTGTATTTGCAGTTATATTTCAATTATCATTCACTAATAGATATTAAAGCTTTAAATATTATTGGAACAGAACATTATCCATTATTCGCTTACCTAAATTACATCCGTAGATACATCTCAGATAACAAAAACAATGTTAAAATGTCAAGCAAATCGTAGCAACAATCGTTAGCCTACTGGAATAAATCAAACATTTGTTACACATATAGCGTTTAATCACTCTATTTACACAGCATTTGATTAACAATATTCATAAACTATATCAAATCCAACAATTTCTGTCTATACGTTTTTTTTTCGTCAATAATACTAATGCTATTCAACAAGAGAGAAAGAGATAGAGAGCAAAACGCTAGATTGTCTTTCCTTTCTAATTTGTTTGCGAGACATGCATTGACAGTAATCTTTTAATATTAGGAACTCGGTTTTTCAACAAACTTGAAATCAAAGATTTTAAAAATACAATCTCTGTTAAATAAAAACCATTAAAATAAAGTTTTGGTTTTTAAAAAACGTTAAGGGAACTAGGTTAGATTAATCTAAAATATCAGGCGATTAAGATTAAAATTCCATTGTTAAATGTATTATTTAATAACGAACTTTAGTAACGTTTCCACAATAAAAGAATCCTAATAATTGACCAAAGATATCGCTAATAGCAACATTTGGGACAACGGCTTTGGTCTTACAATAAGTACAATATCATTTTACATACAAACATTTTCAAACTTTCGATATATTCATGCAGCGTTAATACCATTCGGTTTACAATATCATAAAAGTTACAGTTGAAGAGATAAGTCAATATGAGAATCCGCATCGACGCGTCCTACTTAACAAGTCTAAGCTATCAGAACACCTAGACATCAATGTGAGAAATTCGCGAACTATTACTACGGTAAAGTGCATCAACAATAACCTTGTTCCGAATACGTAGCGAAGTCTAAACGCCTAGAGGCTACAGAACCGTTTGCTGATATGCAAGATACAAACCAATCTATCCCTTAATATCCATTTCAGAAAAACATACAAAAACGTATTGCTGTCCCTCTTTCTCAGTGAAGAAAGAGATAGCAATACCTTTTACAGTAATAGAAACTCAAGGTCACAATCATAGGGAACGTATACAAAGAGTTTTATCAATACGTATTTACGCGCACGCAAAGGGGCGTGGCTTTAACTCCGCCCATGCATTGTATTTTCATAATAAAATGTGTATTTTTGGCCATAGATTTTACATCTATTTGTTTAGTAATCTCTTGTAAAATCAAGATATTACATGACATTTAGTTACTCTTTGTATATGCTTTGTGTATAAAAATCAAAAATAGATCGACGAACATGAAAATTCGACACCATAAATAAAATACGTATAATTTTTTAATAGCATTGGAACGATTTCATCTTATAACATGCATATTCCTTTAAATATATTTTACAGCACTGCATAAATCAAACGCGCAGTTAATACTGAGTTCATAAGTCGATTATTAATTTCTACATATAACATTTTTTTTACACCTCATAATCTGGAATGTTAAATAGAACTAAGCCAATATGCTACTTAGTTAATAAATACATTACACTGAAAATACGTCGGTCGCTAAAAAAATATTTATTTTCATAACATAGTCGTAAGCGTAAAGTATATCGTATGTTCAATTACAAAGCACTGTTGCTCACAAATGTGTGTGATCTTCAAATAGCTATTCGATCTAAAAATATTGCTTGAATCTGAGCAATTAAAAGAACATTTTACATAAAATACAAGATATAAATTTTAAAATATATAAATTTAATTACGCTATGGTAACATCGGTACACTATCACAAGATATAATCGTTAATTAAAAAATAGGGTTTTTTAAACGTATAGTTAAAAGCACAAAAGCAAGATTTTAGATGAGTCAAGTTGCACAAACATTTATAATTTAAATCGTATTTTGCGCAACCAAACTCATTTGACAATATTAAATCGGTAAGAAGTTATTTTCACTGGACAACAACAGAAGCATCGTCGTTGTGGGTTAGGAACAAACAGAAAGCTGACACAAGTGGCATACATTGTACACAAAAAGGTTAACAAGTTTATACAGCGATAAGGCTCAACATTTATTGTATTAAAATTGACAAAGTTGTAATACGGAGCGCCTCCGCGAGACGTACACGTGCGTGCGTGGCGACGTACAGTACGTACTATACGTTGACTGAAAATATGCAAACTATTTTAAAGATTTGCATCGGTATTTTTGCACACAATATATGTACGTACACATTGACGAGTTATATACGTACTAGTGCGTACAATAAGATTAACCCATAAATGCATGATGATGCATTTATACACCAGTCTTCTCTTCCATACACAACATTTTATAAAAAAAATGTTCAATTTAGGGTATTTAAAAAAAATCATGCATTTAAGGGTTGAATGCCACTTCAATTGGGCATTAGCCAGCGCTCGCTCTTTCGTACACAGTAAGTTGTTAATAAGTTTTGCGTGCGGAGTCGCAGGAGGGCGTTGTTTACTTGAATTTGGCGAAGGCGGAGCTGATCTCGGAGATGGCGGCGTTGGTGACGGCCTGGCCCACCGCCTGGTTGATCTGCTGGCGCATGTGCGGGGGCAGCTGCCCCATGCCGGCCGCCAGCGCGCCCCCGCCCCCTCCACCCGGCCGCCTAGTCAGTGTTGCCATTTTAATCAAAAACTTTCCTCCCCAACACGATGTAAACTTTTTCACAATTTTAAACTCCCACAATTTGCCTTAATACCAATTTAGATCTCTCACAGCTTCTCTGTAAGAATATTAGAGTAATGTAACCGCCATAATTTATAAGTAAGCTCTTACAGGGCAACTGTGATTATATTGTACAACCGAAGATAGCTTATTCTCTAATTTATCTACATAGACAAATAGGCTAATTTTCAAAGGAAAGGAAATAGTGTCAAACAAAGTCCAATATAGAAGATCACACACAAAGATCAAACCATGCAGTGCTTCTTGAAAATTTACACAATTTCACAGTGAAGTCCTCTTTAACATAATTTGTAAGAAAATGTACTTAACAATGTCACTAAAATGTTCAATAACAAAAATTTTTCGATGGAGACACATCACAAAAATATATCATAAACTTTGCCGGTACATTCTCTCGCAAAATATTTTTAACAGAGCAGGCAAAGTCACTCAGAAACACTACAACTATAGCAGACCATTAAACGTTTTATAGCTACATTAATTTATAATTTCAATATAATATTGGAAGCAACGTTTTCTAACGCATCATAAGTATTCGTGGTTTAAATATGATTAAAAATATTTGTAAACGACATAATTTATAAACATTAAATTTTGACTCTTTATTAACTTAATACAGTCAAAATTTCGAGTCAAACGTTAGCTGAAAATATTTCCTATTAAAATAACATAGATATTTTATAAATATTGTTTGGATATGTTTTAAATGATGAGACATTACGAGGGCGGTGTGCAAGCTGTCATTAGAGTTAAATTTAACTGTACTAAGTTAACGGGGAAGAGTTAGTACCTTAGGCAAATATGTAACTTATATTAGTTAGGGATGCGCCGGGGCCGCCACTTAGCGCCGTCTGCGAAAATAACCACAAACTAAACTTTTGCAAATGTTTTTAAACACAAAAGTTATTTTACAACACAAGCAATCACCTTTGTAGGATCATTGTTAGCTATCACATAAAGCCCAGAGAACTACATATTATGGCTGTTACATCACCCAAGGTAAAAAGCGGAAAAGTTTACATTATGTTTACCTGATTTTGTAATAATGTTTAAAGGGATATCTTTCTAATTTGTAATAAAAAAAATAGTTAAAAATGTAGACTCGGACATATTCTTCAATGGACGAAAACATATAATATTTCATACGAGAAAAATTTATATTTTTATGACAGACTTACTGTTTTTCTTTCATATATATTTTAGAAAAATGTTTAGACTTGATTAATTTTATAATGTCGATTATTCTCACATTTGGAGTTTATCAGTATATAATACAAAAGTAGTTAGTATAGTATGGGACTGAAGGGAATTTTAAAAACTTATCGAACATTTGTCACAACTATGAGACAACATCTAATGTAATTTGCAGTTTAGTCCTTGAATCATCAATCAATGCTGTTCCATATTTAAATGTCGATTCAGTACTGGGCCGTTAAAGGTTTAATATTAAATGGAACTCATAATCAAACAAGACATTTTTTAGATGATTATAGACTGGTGACGAATTTTTGTTAAGAGGGGCCCGTAGATTTCGAAAAACTCTTTTTTTATAGAGGTGGGGTTTTTTGAGGTTAGATTAGAGTTACCAATAAAAATAATTACATTTATGTCGAATGGGAAATAATTGTCCATTATTTGATTGGATTGATTATTTGATTTGTTAGATGAGATGTGTGTGTGTGTGCGAGGTACTAACGTGGGTATGAGCGGCGCGGGCAGGCCCTGCGCGGGCAGCGGGCGCGCGGCGGGCGGC